CATGGTCAGAAGCTCAGTGTGGAACCACACCACTGGTACACACACCTGAAAGGCACAGTGGGAGATGCTGCTTATACAGACACACACACACAGAACGGATCCGCCACACACACCAATATCCTGACAAACTGTAAACCTTACTTTGCAAAAAACAGCTGTTAAGAATACTTCAAAAAGCATATTTTAAGTACAAATATACACCAAAGCATTTAGACAAAATATCTTCTAAACTCATACAGAAGCCATACTTCAAAATATCTGATAAGTGCTTTCAGCTCTAGAGAAACGGGGATTGCGTTCTGCCTGCAGTCACAACCCTGCATCATACAATGTACACAAATTCTGCCATAGATTTGCTATAACTTTGGTTAAAAATAGGATTGACCCTTCCCTCATATAGTATAACTCTGTGCTTTGCACAGGAAAAATATAATCCTACATTCCTTTATATTATAGGTCGCACATATGCATATTTTTAAAGCTTATAAGACTCTGACTGAGACAATGAGTAAAGCACATTTTTCACAAGCTTAGGGACCCGTTACATTTATATCTGCTGTACCTGTTTCTGGTCACCCGGCATGCCGGGGACTACTGCACACAATTCCAAGTCATTCCTCTCAAGTCAATCTGCAAGCAGCCTGGAGAGCAGCCCGGAGCGGAAGAGAGCGGAGTGGAGGTCACAGTTCAGCGGGCCCGGCACAGGTCGGTCTGTGTTCCCGCCGGCACCCGGTACTGGATCTTGGTGTTGGTGATGGCTCCGTGTTTCTGCCGCAGGTGCAACCGCAGCTGACTCTTGTGTCTGAAGTGCAAGTTACATTTCTCACACTGAAAGAAAAACAATCTCATTCAATTACTGTGTAAATAAATATGCTGGAGGGGGCCTCAGCCAGCCCCCGCCCCCGCCAGCCCCCCCCCGCCCCAGCCGCCAGCCCCCCCGCCCAGCCAGCCCCCCCCGCCCAGCCACCCCCCGCCAGCCCCCCCCGCCCACGCCAGCCCCCCCGCCCCCCCCCAGCCAGCCAGCCCCCCCGCCGCCAGCCCCAGCCAGCCCCCCCCCCGCCCCCCCAGCCAGCCAGCCAGCCGCCCCCCCGCCCAGCCAGCCAGCCCCCCCGCGCCCCAGCAGCAGCCAGCCAGCCCCCCGCCCCCAGCCAGCCCCCCCCGCCCCGCCCCCCCCGCCCCCGCGCCAGCCCCCCGCCCCCCCCGCCCCAGCCAGCCAGCCCCCCCGCCCCCAGCCAGCCCCCCGCCCCCAGCCAGCCAGCCCCCCCGCCCCAGCCAGCCCCCCGCCCCCGCCAGCCCGCCCCGCCAGCCCCCCCCCCCAGCCAGCCAGCCCCCCCGCCCCCAGCCAGCCAGCCCCCCCGCCCCCAGCCAGCCAGCCCCCCCGCCCCAGCCAGCCAGCCCCCCCCGCCCCAGCCAGCCAGCCCCCCCCCCCCAGCCAGCCAGCCCCCCCCGCCCCAGCCAGCCAGCCCCCCGCCCCCAGCCAGCCAGCCCCCCCCCCCAGCCAGCCCCCCCGCCCCAGCCAGCCAGCCCCCCCCCCCAGCCAGCCAGCCCCCCCGCCCCCAGCCAGCCAGCCCCCCCCGCCCCCAGCCAGCCAGCCCCCCCCGCCCAGCCAGCCAGCCCCCCCCCGCCAGCCCCCCCGCCCCAGCCAGCCAGCCCCCCCGCCCAGCCAGCCCCCCCGCCCCAGCCAGCCAGCAGCCAGCCCCCCCGCCCCCAGCCAGCCCCCCCGCCCCGCAGACCCCGCCCCCGCCAGCCCCCCCGCCCCGCCAGCCCCCCCGCCCCAGCCAGCCAGCCCCCGCCCCAGCCAGCCCCCCCGCCCCAGCCAGCCAGCAGCCAGCCCCCCCCGCCCCCAGCCAGCCCCCCCGCCCGCCAGCCCCCCCCCCCCGCCAGCCCCCCCGCCCCCAGCAGCCAGCCCCCCCGCCCCAGCCAGCCAGCCCCCCCCGCCCCAGCCAGCCAGCCCCCCCGCCCCAGCCAACCAGCCCCCGCCCCCACCAGCCCCCCCGCCCCCAGCCAGCCAGCCCCCCGCCCCCCCGCCCCCCCCGCCCCAGCCAGCCAGCCCCGCCGCCCCAGCAGCCAGCCCCGCCCGCCCCCAGCCAGCCAGCCCGCCCGCCCCCAGCCAGCCAGCCCCCCCCAGCCAGCCCCCCCGCCCCCAGCCAGCCAGCCCCCCCGCCCCAGCCAGCCCCCCCCGCCCCCGCCAGCTCCCCCGCCCCCGCCAGCCCCCCCCCCGCCAGCCCCCCCGCCCCCAGCCAGCCAGCCCCCGCCCCCAGCCAGCCAGCCCCCCGCCCCCAGCCAGCCAGCCCCCCCGCCCAGCCAGCCAGCCCCCCCCCCCAGCCAGCCCCCCCCCCCCAGCCAGCCAGCCCCCCCGCCCCAGCCAGCCAGCCCCCCCCCAGAGCCAGCCCCCCCCCCCCAGCCAGCCAGCCCCCCCCGCCCCAGCCAGCCAGCCCCCCCGCCCCCAGCCAGCCAGCCCCCCCGCCCCCAGCCAGCAAGCCCCCCGCCCCCAGCCAGCCAGCCCCCCCGCCCCCAGCCAGCCAGCCCCCCCGCCCCCAGCCAGCCCGCCAGCCAGCCCCCCCCCCGCCCCCAGCCAGCCCCCCCCGCCCCCAGCCAGCCAGCCCCCCCGCCCCAGCCAGCCAGCCCCCCCGCCCCAGCCAGCCAGCCCCCCCGCCCCCAGCCAGCCAGCCCCCCCCGCCCAGCCAGCAGCCCCCCCGCCCCAGCCAGCCCCCCCGCCCCCAGCCAGCCGCCCCCCGCCCCCAGCCAGCCAGCCCCCCCGCCCCCAGCCAGCCAGCCCCCCCCGCCCCCAGCAGCCAGCCCCCCTGCCCCCAGCCAGCCAGCCACCCCCCCCGCCCCCAGCCAGCCACCCCCGCTTCCAGCCAGCCCCCCCCGCCCCCAGCCAGCCAGCCCTCCCAGCCCCCCGCCCCCCCCGCCCCAGCCCCCCCCCCCCCCAGCCAGCCAGCCTCCCCCCGCCCCCAGCCCGTCAATTATGTGAAAGACATACAGTGGTTCCTGTGTGCCAAGCTGGGTGTCTACACAGGAAGTTGCACTTTTATCTGCTGAATCAATTAATTTCTACTTGAATGGACGTCCATCCCACCCTTCCAAAGCGCTCGGACCTTATTCTACTTACACGCAGGGTACTATATGTAAACGCATTGTGTGAAATGAACAACAAGCTGAGAATCTGTCCTGAAGTTCTACTTGCACCTTTTTTGTTCATTGGCCTAAGCACGCTCAATACATGCTCCTTATACCTCAAATCCCCTCCAAATACAGACCTGACAGTAATTATGTGTGAAGCAATTCAGTGTTAGGTGCTATAGAAATAGTTTTCTTTCTATTAAAACCTGGTTTTGTGTATAATAATAATAATCCTTGCATTTGATACAGGGCCTTATTGTCTTTGAGACGTCTCAAAGCGCTTCACAGAATATACTTTAAAGTGAATTGACTGTTATGTTGTGGGCGAAGCACGGCAGCCAATTGCCTACAGCATTGTCCCACAGTTGTGGAGCGAGTGACCAATTTATTATTAATATTTTTTTGAAGGAATTATTACACCCGGAAAAGCAATCCACCGGTTGACTAACACCCAGGTTCCTACTTGCTGTTAGGTAAACAGAGGCGTGTGGAGTAAGGAAACTTACCCAATGTTTTGTCTGGTTGGCAATCAAACCCAGGTCCTCTCGCTTGAGGTCTGGGTTTATTTATTTAACAAACAATAATAATTTTGTCACTCAATCCACGACTGTTTGTGGGGCGCTGCTGTGCATAATTTGCTGCTGCGTTTCGCCCACAAAATATAATCAATTCACTTTACAGTATATCCTGTGAAGCGCTTTGAGACGTCTCGAAGACGGGATAAGGCACTGTATCAAATGCAGGGAATATTATGATTGAAGTGCCGATGCGTCTCTTTATAAATTAGCAGTTGTTATGAAACTGAACCTCTAGGCGGCGCTGTAAGACCATATAAGATGAAGTTGCTGCCCACACCGCCCCTGCTGGCCGAGAGCTGCACGAACATCCAGCGAGTTCCCGTCACTGAGCCATCAATTGAATGTGAGTGATCCCAGGTCGGTTCTAGTGCAAACCGCACTTAACAATATGTAAGTGACAAAAGCTTTGTGTCTGTACTCCAACCCTTGGTTCCTGAGCCTCATTTCCAGAGCAGCAGCAATCACTGATGGGACAACAAATCCTATTGTCCACTGGGCTTCCCCACACAATGGGTACCTGTGCCTAATACTCTCTTGAAATCGGTAGGTGATTCCCTCCGCGGAGAGGTTACACTTTCCATTCCAGAAATAGGGAAGTTTCCATGTCTAAGTGGAATACATACGTCGAACTCTGTCTAGTTTGCATCGTAATAGGTTTCTGCATTTGTTAAACCCTGAGGTCATCCAAAAGAATTCCTGTTGTAAATCTCACAAATTAGAGATTTGGCCCTGGCCTAATCTGATGAGATACCCACAAGTGCACTTTCCAAAAAGGATAGAGAGCTGAATATCAAGCATATCTTTTCATCTCCACAAATGGGGGTCTGAACTTTGGTTCTTCAAATGAACCCTCACTGCCTCTCACTGTTGATTAATGCTCACAGAATTTAGGAATGTTTAAAACCAGAAAATACCATTCTCAGCCACCAACCCACAAAGTGCAATGAGATGTGTAGTACTCCTATAGTGTCCAGTTTGCTGTGTCTCTTAACAGGCTTTCTTAATAAGAAATGGGCAGGGCATTTGGGAATAAATTAATCAAATTATTAATCAGGGTGGGTAGGGCATTGGGATTAAATTAGACATCTTGCTCTGACAGCCTGTACAGAATCAATAAACTGAATGGACTCCTTCTGCACTGTAAATTTCTGTGTCTCTGAGTTGAGTCAGTCGGTGAGATTTTTGAAGCGTTTCCAATCCCACGTAATTGTGTATCATTAATTATATATATTATATATGCTTACATGTGTCTAACATTTTTGTGTGGGTGTGTATGAGAGATATGCATGTATTGTATAGCACCTCATGGATAGTACTCGTTATGCCGCTACACATGGATAAACTGAAGTTTGCTTTGAGTGTCCATCAACCTTAATCTGTCTGGACAGGTGGCTGTTTGCAGATGAATTATAAAAATCTGTCCACCTTCCTGGGTAAATATTTGCTAATTAGTTGTGTTTGCAATAAGTGAGTGGATCAGCTGAAACCAGAAAGCCATTATCACATTTTCACCTGAAATTAAAATTGCTCAGTGAACCACTCAGCCCTACCACATGGGAGCTGTGTCCAGCATTCACGGGGGGAGGGGGCAGCTAGTGAGGGCTACTGATTGCACACACAGTCAAGGGAAGAAACACTCACTGGCAGCTGCTGATGGACATTCATTGTGCTGATTCCAGTGCTTTTATGCTGGAAATTGGAAGACTTGAGTTGAGTCAGTAAGTGAGGTTAATGGAGTGGCTCCAATCCCATCTAATTGTTTAATGAATAGAGATGGGCTGAGGCAGAAGGTGGGAGTCAAGCGGCTAAATTTGATGGAAGAGCTCTCCATTTAAATTCCAAGCCTCTTGTGTTTAATTGACAGCAGAAATTCACAGACCATTTAAAGCTGTAACTAATCTTTACACCGTTTCACTTCCGCTTTTGACAGAAACAAACATTTACAGTCAAAGCACTAGACCAATTCTCAATACTATTTCCATAACATATTTAACAAAGGCCCAATAACTTTTCCACAACACGCAAGGAGAACATTTATTACATGTGATTTGATAGTTATCAACAGTGAGACTGTGTGCAATGGGGGAAGTTCTCTGTCTAAGTGAGTGTGGGGTGGGGTGGATATGGGTGTATGTTTGTGTGTGTTCGGTGGGGGCTGTGATCGGAGGCTGACTGTTGCTTTACCTTATGATCTGGGTTTAAATCTTCAGTGGTAGGGGTGACTGACTGTGAGCACCCTGACAGGGGAGGGAAATTGGGGCCAATCCTAATAGCTGTGCACAAAGCTGGCCCTGGCCTGGACCTTGCTCAGGCGGTCTCGTGTGGGAAATGGAAGTTCATGGTTGAGAATAGGGAGCCTGAGGGTAATGGAGGAGATACCCTGAGCGATCTAAGCACTGACTGGTTTCCTTGCATTTGATCAGTATCTGTGATGATCAGCCTGACAGAGGAGGGTAATTGTGCATAAATGTCAGGTCACTCTCCCCAGGTGTTATTTAACATCAGGTGATTATGCGAGAGTGGCTTTATAAAGCAGGACATAGGGTACCCCCACAGTGCAGTGATCGGATCAGCATTGCTGACAGTTTGAGACTGACACACATTGCAGACTGTGCTCCGGTGTTGGCAGCAATGCAGGCTCGGTGCACCCTCACTCTAGCCCTCCTCTCCCTGGCAGCGCTTGGCCTCAGTGCTTTGCCCACACACCTCAGGGACCAGCTCGTTCTCCAGGGATCACCAGCAATGGTAAGTAAGCTTCACCTCACCAGCTTTCAGCCTCTAGGCCTCAACCCAAGCTTGAGTTATTTCTAATTGACAACTTGCCTTCACTCAAGATTAACAGTAAGGATTGTATTAGTGGCTCATAGAATCACAGAATTATACAGCACAGAAGAAGGCCCATCGTGTCTGTGCTGAATCTTTTAAAAGAGCTATCCAAATCAATCCTACTCCCCCGCTCTCCCTATAGCCCTGCAAATCTGTCCTTTCCAAATAATTATCTATTTCTCTCTTAAAAGTTGTTATTAAATCAGCTTCCACCAGCCTTTCAGGCAATGCATTTCAGATCCAAAATTGAATTGAAAACATCTATTAAGTCTCCTCTTAACCTTCTCTGCTCCAAGGAGAATAATCCCAGCTTCTCTACCTCTCATGATAACTGAAGTCCCTCATTCCTGGTACCATTCCGGTCAATCTCCTTTACACCCTCTCCAATGCCTTGACATCCTTCCTAAAGTGTGGGGCCCAGAACTGAACCGAGTCTCTCGCTGAGGCCTAACCAGTGTTTTATATAAAGGTTCATCATAACTTCCTGACTTGTGTATTCTAAGCCCCTATTTATAAAGCCCAGTATCCCGTATGTTTTTTTTTAACAGCTGTATCTACCTGTCCTGCTGCCTTCAAAGATTTCCTTATATGACCCCCAGGTCTCTCTGTTCCTTCACCCCCTTTACGATTCTACCATCAGCTTATATTGCCTCTCCTCATTCTTCCTCCCCAATTGCATCACTTTGCATTTCTCCACATTAAACTTCATTTGCCACGTGTCTGCCCATGTTACCAGTCTGTCATCTGAAAACTTGGAAATTGTACTCCCTATAGTCCAGGTCATTTATATAGATAAAAAAAACATCAGTGGTCCCAATACTGACCCCCGGGGGGACACCACTGTACACTTCCCTCCAGTCAGCAAAACAACCGTTCCCCACACTCTCTGCTTTCTGTCTCCCAGTTCTGTATCCGCTGCCACTGTCCCTTTAATACCGGGGATTTTTATTTTGCTTACAAGTCTCTTATGTGTCACTTTATCAAATGCCTTTTGAAAATCCATATAAACTACATCAACTGCACTACCTTCATCCGCCCTCTCCGTTACTTCATCAAAAACTCTATCAGGTTTGTTAGACATGATTTGCCTTTAACAAATCTGTGCTGGCTGTTGATACTGTGGCATTGACTGCATCCTTTTATCAAGAAAGTACTATTCAGTACGTCAGCCGTGCCCGCTGCCTCCACAAGAAGATTTTCCCTTTAGTCCCTTATTGAGCCCACCCTACCTTTGACTAACCTTTTATTCTTTATATGCTTATAAAATACCTTAGGTTTCCCTTTTATGTTACCTGCTAATCTTTTCTCATACAATCTCTTTGCCCCTTTTGTTTCCTTCTTCAGTTCTTCTCTATACTTTCTATATTCTATTTGATTATCTTGTGTTGTATTGAAGTGTTCACATGTTCGTATTGAATTGTCAGCCTGTCTCACTCTTGCCTTTGAGCCAGAAATAGAGGGTTAAAGCCTCATGCCAGGGAGCTTAGCACAGAGATTTGATGGAATACAATTTCATCCTGTGATACATAGAATGATATGGAACAGAAACAGATCATTCGGTACAGCTAATCTGTATTTGACATAACTTGCCTTTCAGTGCCAACTCATCCCTGAAACTGCCCCAGCTTGTAACTACAGTCATTGCTTGAGACAAACCTTCTGGAGCAATGAGCAGCGAGAGAGATCCCTGTTATTGCAAACGGGAGGATTCTCTGAGCCCAAGAGGAACTCAGTAAAAACATGTCATCCTGTCCGTTACTCAGCATGTGCCTTAACAAAATAAATCTTTTTTTCCTACAGCTGCTAGGCAAATAAAAATGAATCCAATTTTTTCAACCTAAGGTGAGATAATTGACTCTTTTATTCACTTCCTGCTGTGCAAATATCAAAGTGAATAGACTGCTGATGTACTCAGGAGATGGCACACATCTCTCCTCTTGTACTTTATAAAAGCAGCCATTAAACACTCTGATCACCATTGAATGGAAAGCTCACAATAATTGTCACTGAGAGGTAATAATAATAATAATCCGTGCATTTGATATAGCACTTTTCACGTCTTCCAGATGTCTCAAAGCGCTTCACAGAATAGACTATAAAGTGAATTGACTGTATATTTGTGGGCGAAACGCAGCAGCCACTTGTGCACAGCAGTGTCCCACAAACGGTCGTGGATTGGAATGACCAATTTATTTTTTTTGAGGAATTATTATTAGGCGTGTGGAGTAAGGAAACTTGCCCAAGGTTTTGCCCTGCCGGGAATCGAACTCAGGTCTCTCACTTGTAATCACCACAGTTTTAAATACCCTTTAAATAAATGCCCATTAAATACCCTTTGAAGGAATATCCTCTAAATACCTCTGAGCAATGGAATACCGGCAGAAATGCCACAGATGTCCATTTGAAAGGCCAGACCCCTAGTACTGACGAAAGGTCATCGACCTGAAACGTTAACTTATTTTCTTCTCTCCATAGATACTGCCAGACCTGCTGAGTGTTCCAAGCAATTTCTGTTTTTATCCCAAGGCTCGGTGTTTTGTTGGTGTCAGTCAGAAAGTACTCGTCACAAGTGCGTTGTGTCGGGACTACCATCTCAAATGGTCTAGGCCAGTGATGGCCAACTTGCAGCCTGCGTGACTAATTTACACGTGTGTATTGTAAGTTGGTCATCCCTGGCGAGGCTGACACTGCAAATCAGCCGTCTTTTGGAGAGTTTCAACAGCATAATGATGCCATGTGTAATAATGGACCTTTTAAGCAGGGATTAATTACATTGTCCTGTGTAAATATCACTTGACAGCAATTAATCATGAAGCATTTGGGAGCGATTTGACGTGATAAGGTGCTATAAAAAAATTGGATTTGACTTGTTGTCATGTCTAACAAATCTAATAGAATTTTTTGATGAGGTAACGGAGAGGGTGGATAAAGGTAGTGCAGTTGATGTCGTTTATATGGACTTTCAAAAGGCATTTGACAAAGTGCCACATGAAAGACTTGTAAGAAAGATAGAAGCCAATGGTATAAAAGGGGCAGCGGATCCCGAACGGGCCGGGAGACAGAAAGCAGAGAGTGGTGGTGAACGGCTGCTTTTCTGACTGGAGGGAAGTGTACAGTGGCGTTCCGCAGGAATCGGTATTAGGACCACTGCTCTTCTTAATATATATAAACTTGGACTTGGGTATAGCAAGTACCATTTCCAAGTTTGTGGATGACACAAAGTTAGGGAGGGGGTAAACAGTGAGAAGGACAGGAACCAACTGCAGGAAGACATAGACAGAATGGTACAATGGGCGACACATGGCAGATGAGTTTCAATGTAGAGAAATGTGAGGTAATGCATTTTGGTAGAAAGAATGAGGGGCAATATAGGCGGTAATACAATCTTAAGGGGGTAAAAGAACAGAGAGACCTGGGGGTGCAGGTAAATGAATCCTTGAAGGTGGAGGGACAGGTAGATACAGCTGTAAAAAGGGCATCTGGGATACTGGGCTTTATAAACAGGGGCATAGAGTACAAGAATCAGGAGATTATGATTAACTTATATAAAACACTGGTTAGGCTTCAGTTAGAATACTGCGCCCAGTTCTGGGCACCGCACTATAGGAAGGATGTTAAGGCATTGGAAAGGGTACAGAGGAGATTTACGAGGATGGTACCAGGAATGAGGGACCTTGATGATGAGGAAAGGGTAGAGAGGCCGAGATTATTCTCATTGGAGCAGAGAAGGTTACGAGGACCTGATAGAGGTCTTCAAAATCAAAATCATTTGATAGGTTAGAAAGGGAACAACTGTTTCCACTGGTGGGTGTGTCGGTGACTCGAGGTCACAGATTCAAAATAGTCTCTAAAAGAAGCCGAGGGGAGGGGAGAAGACATTTTTCACGCAGCGAGTTGTTGGAATCTGGAAGCCATTACCTGAAAGGGCGGTCGAGGCCGATTCGATAACTACTTTTAAAAACGCGGTGGACGGGTATTTGAGGAGGACGGGTTTGCAGGTTATGGGGTAAGGGCCGGGAGTGGGATTGACATTAATTGCTCTATTCAAAGAGCCGCACAGACTCGATGGGCCGAATGGCCTCTTTTTGTGCTGTACGATTCTATGATTCTATGATTCTATGTGCTTGCACTGGAGGGTGTGTGTCAGCAGGCGGCGCTCTGCCCTCGCTGGGTTACTGCTGTTTTTACATTATTATAGACATTGAGAAGCAGATCAGAAATCTCCGCTTATTAAACACTATAGTGAGGACAGAATGCTGACGCGCCTGCTCTTAAACTCAGATAGGGGTCAGAGAGGTGACACTATGTAATTACAGAGAACAAATGTCAAAATAAACTAGGTTGCCCTATTTAGAATGTTCCAGAAAGTTTAGAGTCTAATGTAGCTACTCAGGGTGCAGCAGGGACGGAGGAGACTGGGAGGGAAAGGATGGATTGTGATAGTGTTTTAATAATAATAATCCCTGCATTTGATATAGTGCCTTATCACGTCTTTGAGATGTCTCAAAGCGCTTCACAGAATATACTGTAAAGTGAAATAACAGTAGTTGCTGGGAACACACAGCAGATCAGGCTGCATCTAAGGAGAGAGGAAAGTGAGGTCATGTTTCAGGTAACGATGACCTTTCATCAGAACTGGAAAGTGAATTGACTGTATATTTTATACAGTATTTTATGTGACAACACGCTGTATTTCAGCACAATCAGTTGAATCTCAACGACACTGGCTGTTACGTCAGTAATCTCAGCATCTCAGGGGTCAGTGGATGGAGTGCGCAGGAGGGGGACAGTGCTGCGGAGGTCAGAGATTGTGTTCACTCTGTGATTGGCCGATGCTATTCATGTTATGAGCCACTCAGTCTGTCCTGCGTTGTGTGGCCGCCAGCGGGTGACTTTGCTCTCACCGCTTGTTTGCAGGAGCTGCGGGATGGTGTGGTCCGGGAGCTGATACAGGCAGTGGCCGATGCAGAGAGCAAACCCCAGAGTGAGGAGGCAGCAGAGGACTTCGCTCCAGATGAAAAGGCTGAACTACGGCTTGCGCTGGCTCCACGGTGGCGGAAAGATTGTAAAAATTTCTTCTGGAAAACTTACACTTTGTGCTAATCCTGTGCCAGCGTTAAAGCCTGACTGAACCACAACCGTCTGGCTGGCGAGAGGTCTTAATTAATGTGTAATATGAATTGTTTGCTATTTAGCATGCCTCAATTATTGTTAATCCTTTACTCATTGTGAATTCTTAATCAAGTGTTTACTGTTACGGGGAACAATAAATCATCATCATAGCTATATTCTGCAATGTGTGAAATATTTGTAAACGATTTGGTGATTTTTTTAAATGTTGATTCAAGTGACAACTGTCAATGTTGGGGAACTAAAGTTTCAGGGCTCAACGTCAGCTCTGCACTCACACTTCGTATTGAGGCCATTCTGGACTGCAGGAAGGATGTCAAGGCCAAAGGTAGGGCACATTCACTGGACATCTCATTCTTTCATCCAACAGCCTCCATCACTGCTGCACCCAGACAATAGTCACGGCAGAACCATAGACATTTAAAGCACAGGAGAAGACCATTCTGCCCATAGTCTCTGTGTTCCCCTTAAAGAGCAACCTTTTGGGGCCCATTTATATGCCCATTCCCAAAACCCTGTAATTTAATCTATCTACCATTCCATCTCAACCTGCCTTTCATCTCACTGACCTGATCAAAGTCACAAATAACATTCTCTTTCCTCAGCGTCTTGACCTCTCTGCCACCTACCACACGTAACTCTATCTCTCTGTCTTCACCCTTGATTCCAGGACCACTGTTGAACTGACCGGTTGTCTTTTGGACATCCTGGATGTCCTGGATGAGAGCTAAACTTTCTCTAGTTAAATGTTGACAAGACATCAACACCTTTTCACTTCAGGTACTACAGCATCAATCCACACAGGTGCACTCTCCACCTCATGGAAAGCGTGATGAAAGCATGGATCAGGGTCTCGGGGGCCTGCGGCGAGAGGCAGTGATGGAGGTGGGCAATACTGCGGAGGTGGTGAAAGCCGGAACGGGTCACAGCACGAATGTGGGGTTTGAAGGATAGCTGAGGGTCGAAAAGGACTCCGAGGTTTTGGATTGACTCAGTGAGGTGAAGAGCACAGCCGTGGGTGGGGATAATGCAGTGTTTGACAAACATTTTCCCATAATAATTGTAAGTTTCCCATATGCCGACTGTATCCCAGGACTGAGATGGCAACATTACATTGTCACAAAGTAACCCTCCAGGATATTCGTTACATTCTTGCAAAGTACAGTAGCCACTGGCCATTGGCTACCAACCCAGAGACTCACATCCCCCCGAGACTCATACGTCCACCTGCACCCACCCCCCCCAACCCCGACTAACTCACACCCTGAGACTGACATCCCCCCCAGAGACTGACAGCCCCCCGAGACTGACATTCCTTCCCAGGGACTGATATCTCCCCCAGAGATTGTCATGCAACCCCCCTCCCCCAAGGGACTGACATCACCCCCAGAGACTGACAACGCCCCCCCCTCCCCAAGAGACTGATATCCCCCCAGAAACTGACATCCCGCCCGAGACTGACATCACCCCCAGAGACTGACATCCCCCCCCACAGAGACTGATAACCCCCAGAGACTGACATCCCCCCGAGACTGGCATCCCTCCCCAGGGACTGATATGCCCCCAGAGACAGACATGCCCCACCCAGAGACTGACATCACCCCCAGAGACAGATATCACCCCCAGAGACTGAATTCCACCCCCCCACCACCGGAAACTCACATTCCCCGCAGAGATTGACATCCCTCCCAGATACTGATATCCCTCTCCAGAGACTGAAATCCCCCCCAAAGAGACTTATATCCCCCCCAGAGACTGATAACCCCCAGAGACTGACATCCCCCCAGAGACTGATATCCTGACACCGCCCCCCCACCCCCCAAGACTAACATAGCCCACAGAGACTGATATCCACCCCAGAGGCTGTCATCCCCCCAGAAACTGACATCTGCCCCAGAGACTGATATCACGCCCAGAGACTGACATCCCCACCAGAAACTGACATTCCATCCCAGAGACTGGCATCCCTCCCCTCCCCCCTCCCCTCCCCCCGAGACTCAAATCCACTCCCCGAGATGGACATCCCTCCATATCCCCACCAGAGACTGACATCCACCCCCAGAGACTGATATCACGCCCAGAGATGACATCCCCCCCAGAGACTGACATCCCCCCCAGAGACTAACATCATTCCCAGAGACTGACATCCCCCCAGAGACTGATATTCCCCTCAAACACTGAAATCCCACCCCCCAGAGACTGACGTTCCTCCCCAGAGACTGGTATCACTCCCAGACACTGACAACCAACCCAGAGACTGATATCACCCCCAGAGAATGACATCCCCCACCAGAGAATGACATGCCACCCCGCCCCCCAGAGACTGATATCACTCCCAGACACTGACAACCCACCCAGAGACTGATATCACGCCCAGAGACTGAAACACCCCCACCCCCAGAGACTCACATCAGCCCCAGAGACGGATATCACCCCCAGAGACTGAAACCCCTCCCCCACTACCAGAGACTCACATCCCCCCCAGAGACTGACATCCTTTCCCAAGGACTGATATCGACCCAGAGACTGACATCCACCCCCCAGAGACTGATATCCTCCCAGAGACTGACATGCCCCACCAAGAGACTGATATCACCCCCAGAGACAGCTATCACCCCCAGAGACTGACATCCCTCCATATCCCCATCAGACTGATATCCCCCCCCACGAGACTGATATCCACCCCCCAAGATTGACATCCCTCCATATCCCCACCAGAGACTGACATCCTCCCCCAGAGACTGAAATCCCCCCCAGAGACTGACATGCCTACCCCATCGAGACTGATATTTCCCCCAGAAACTGATATTCCCCCTCAGTGAATCACAGCTCCCCCCCCCCACAGAGACTGATATCCACCCCCAGAGACTCACATTGCTCCCCAGAGGCTGGCATCCCTCCCCCCCAGAGACTGACATTCCCCCCAGAGACTGTCATCCCCCACAAAGACTGATAATCCCCCAGAGACTGACATCCACCCCCAGAGTCTGACATCCCCCTCCCAGAAACTAATATCCCCCCAAAGACTGACATCCCTTCCCAGAGACTGACATCCCCCCCCACCCCAGAGACTCACATCCCTCCAGAGACTGACATCCCCCCCCCAGAGACTGACATACCCCCCCATAGACTGATATCCCCCCCAGAGACTGACATACCCCCCCATAGACTGATATCCCCGCCAGAGACTGATATCCACCCCCAGAAACTGACATCCCCCCAAAGACTGACATCCCTTCCCAGAGACTGACATCCCCCCCCCACCCCAGAGACTCACATCCCTCCAGAGACTGATATCCTCCCCAGAGACTGATATCCCCCAACTAGAGACTGATAATCCCCCCCAGAGACTGATATCCCCCCCAGAGACTGACATCCACCCCACAGAGACTGATATCACCCCACCCCAGAAACTGACATCTCTCCCCTCCCTGAGACTGATATCCCCCCCAGAGACTGACATCCTCCCCCCCCCAGACTGATATCCCCCCTGAGATGACATACCCCCCTTAGACTGATATCCCTCCCAGAGACTGACAACCCCACAGAGACTGACATCCCCCCCAGAGACTGACATCCCCCCCCCCAGACTGATATCCCCCCTGAGACTGACATCCCCCCCATAGACTGATATGCCCCCCATAGACTGATATCCCCCCCAGAGACTGACATACCCTCCCATAGACTGATATCCCCCCCCAGAGACTGATATCCCCCACAGAAACTGACATCCCCCCCCACAGAGACTGACATCCCCCCCAGAGACTGACATCTCCCACCTAGAGACTGATATCCCCCCGCCCCAGAGACTCAATCCCTCGCAGAGACTGACATCCCCCCCAGAGACTGACATAATCCCCCCCAGAGACTGATATCCCCCCCAGAGACTGATATCCCTCACAGAAACTGACATCCGCCCCCACAGAGACTGATATCCCCCAGAGACTGACATCCTCCCCACAGAGACTGATATCCCCCCCATAGACTGATATCCCCCCCAGAGACTGATATCCCCCCCAGAGACTGATATCCCCCCCAGAGACTGACATCCACCCCACAGAGTCTGATATCTCCCCCAGAGACTGATATCCCCCCCCAGAGACTGATATCCCCCCCCAGAGACTGATATCCCTCACAGAAACTGACATCCGCCCCCACAGAGACTGATATCCCCCCCAGAGACTGACATCCTCCCCACAGAGACTGATATCCCCCCCAGAGACTGATATCCCCCCAGAGACTGACATCCACCCCACAGAGTCTGATATCTCCCCCAGAGACTGATATCCCCCCAGAGACTGATATTCCCCCAGAGACTGATAACCCCCCCAGAGACTGACATACCCCCCCATAGACTGATATCCCCCCCAGAGACTGACATCCTCCCCACAGAGACTGATATCCCCCCCAGAGACTGACATCCACCCCACAGAGTCTGATATCTCCCCCAGAGACTGATATCCCCCCCAGAGACTGATATCCCCCCAGAGACTGATAACCCCCCAGAGACTGAAACCCCCCTCCCAGAGACTGACATACCCCCCCATAGACTGATATCCCCCCAAGAGACTGATATCCCCCCCAGAGACTGATATGCCCCCCAGAGACTGACATCCACCCCACAGAGACTGATATCACCCCACCCCAGAAACTGACATCTCTCCCCTCCCCGAGACTGATATCCCCCCCAGAGACTGACACCCCCCAGAGACTGACATCCCCCCCCAGACTGATATCCCCCCTGAGACTGACATACCCCCCCATAGACTGATACCCCGCCCATAGACTGACAACCCCCCAGAGACTGACATCCCCCCCAGAGACTGACATACCCCCCCATAGACTGATATCCCCCCCAGAGACTGACATACCCCCCCATAGACTGATACCCCGCCCATAGACTGACAACCCCCAGAGACTGACATCCCCCCCAGAGACTGACATACCCCCTCATAGACTGATATCCCCCCCCAGAGACTGACATCCCCGCGCCCCCATCCCAAGACTGAGAACAACAGGAAATTACATTTACACCGCACATTTTATGCGAGGAAGATGTTGAAAGGCACTGGACAGTCAAAAATTTGGGAGTGGGAGACTTGGAGCTGGAGTCTGCTGAGCAGAGAGCGCGGACAGGTTGATATCACATCGAACCCCCACAGACTGACAGCCACCAGCCCAGCCTCACCAAGTACTTCCCTGCCTGAGGAACTCACTCCCACGTCAGTCACTACTTTATCACTTTCACTCAAAGTCAAGCTTTATTCATCAAGGTTCAAGCGGGAAGCGATTTTAGCAGTCTTTATTTCTTAAATTCTAACTAAACTTCCTACTTGTTCATGACAAGGATCTTTAAATCCAATACAAAATCCACAATAATAATAATATGGGACCTTATAACGCTTCACTGGAATTCACTGGAAGCTTATGTGAAGGCCAATGCCAACAACAATAAGGCAACGGCCAAATCCACAAAAATGGGGAGAAAATACAAGCTATCGGCTCGCTGACCCGAAAGGGTGTTTAGGGGGAACCTGTTAAATAGTGTGTGGAACTCGGCTGTAAACCCCGGGACCGGTCATTGGATGCAGTACAGTCCAATGCATTTCACCAGGATCAATATCACCAGTTAATATCACAACAGAGAGAAGAAGCAAACGCTCTTTGCAGCTGAGAGAATAATATCTTATTTCCCGCAAATGAAATTCTCAAAGTTTGTTGTTGGGAAGCAAGCAGCGAATATCTGGATATAATGTGACGGAATCAGAGGCAGACCCACAGGTCAATGGGCGCCAATTCTGTAATAAAGTGAGCAATCCAACTCTTTCCTTTGGTCTGCGGTGTTCGGAGGATAAAATAGGTTATTTTTATTAACGACAAATGCTGTCGATCGCGTGTAAAATGCCAGATATACAACCGAACCGGGGTTTTCATCTAAATATCACCAAGTTGTCTGCGTTTGCATTTGTCCCTTCGGATGGGATGACACACGCGTGGGTCTCAAAGAGCGAGAATTATCCTATTTCACTCAGAAATGGTAAATAAATTAACAAGTGGAATGAGTGTGTCGAATGGGAAGCGTTTGGTTGCAATGATTGTCTGTCCCCCGAGCAGTGAAGATTGACCTCAACTCTTCTCATTCTCCGCCCAAGTAACAGCTCATCAATCTCCCCCTCCCACTTAGAAAACCACAATAGATTTTTTATGTAGGGATGAGACACGCTTCCCTGCCTTCACTTTTCGTGTAAGATAAAACATCACAGGCATTGTGTGTCTTGCTATCCCCCGCCCCCGGGTTACACGGGACAGAATCCATTAACTACGACAAGCGCCGCACTTATCTTGTCAAAACACGCCGACATCTAAATAACAATTCTCAATGGATTAATATATTCAACAGAAATCCCATTAATGTATCTGAAATGTATTTTGGTCACCGCGTGCTATTGTTGGAGATGTCTTTCTTGTCACATCACACCAACTTTGTCTGAAAGCAAGGCAGCCAACAGCCAAACCTGCACAAAACTCTACATTAACTTGTTGTTGCAATAATTAGCAAAATAAATAATCGTTGCCAGCACGGGCCCTGTACTGTCGCCAAGACCCAAATTAACCGTTTGCGCTAAACTCTTAACGGTTTATGGTATTGTCTAATTCAATCCACCCCACAACATTACACATACTGTATCCTGGAGCCGACACAGCGCGATCCTCAGCCAGCAATCCCCGCGTGTGAACACTTCCCACCCGCTAACCCGGTCACACACCGAGACCCCGAGCCGTTGGTACACAGGAGGTTCCAGTTCCGCGGGAGAGTGCAATCAGATTGCCGACTTCAGGAGATATACTGTTTGCATGAACACAAAGGGTACCTTTAGTGTTTTATTGCCTCAGAAACCTCGGCCCGGGTATATGGCCCAGGGAATATGACCAAGGCGTACAGTCCGAGTAAAGATTAAAGGAAAATTAAATAACTATAATGTATTTGCTCCATAGTCCGTCGTAACGGAGTAATGAGCACTAACGAATTAACATTTCTCCGGTTGCACGTTGTATCTTTGAACACGATGCAGGTGGAGATGGCGTTGCTATTTGCCAATTATCCGAGCACAGAGATCATTAGCAGTGAACATTACCAGCAGGACAACACAAACACACTACAGAATGTTAAAGCGTTTGGTACAGATGTCCAATTCAGGCTGATCCTGGGATTAGCTGTACCTGCCCTGACATTGTTCCCTCACTGTAACCTTAGATCACCATAAATCACTTGTTAGATAATTTGATCCGTGTCACACAAGTATTATGATACGCATCTCTAATCTTTTAAAAATATTGAAGTTATTTACGAAGGGAGATTAAGGACGTGTATGTAACCCGTGTCATACCCACTCCCCTGTAATAAGGTGGATTTGTCTTTATGAATAACAATAAAATAAACGTTGTCTGTAAACGCCATACTTGGGTTAGGGTTACATGAATCAGCCTTTACCCGGGGTGACCGGTGACAGACATTTAACTAATACACCTTTTACGGGGAGTAATTTGCAACTGGTTGCCATCTTTTCAATGAAATTATTGCATTGGGACATTGGGAACAAAAGACCTAGCCCGCGCTATTAAATCGTTAGATTTATGTTGGGAAAGATGTGTAGGGGATGGTTTGTAGCGGATGGTCTGCAGGGAGATGGTGTAGGGGTTGGTGTGTAGGGGATGGTGTATAAGAGATGGTTTAGGGGATGGTGTGAAGGAGATGGTGTAGGGGGTGGTGTGTAGGGGATGCTGTAGGGGATGGTGTATATGAAATGGTGTAGGGGTTGGTGTGTAGGGGATGGTGTAGGGGTTGGTGTGTTGGGGATGGTGTAGGTGTTGGTGTGTAGGAGGTGGTGTTGGGTGATGGTGTATAAGAGATGGTTTAGGGGATGGTGTGAAGGAGATGGTGTAGGGGGTGGTGTGTAGGGGATGGTGTAGGGGATGGTGTGTAGGAGATGGTGTTGGGTGATGGTGTATAAGAGATGGTTTAGGGGATGGTGTGAAGGAGATGGTGTAGGGGGTGGTGTGGAGGGGATGGTGTAGGGGATGGTGTAGGGGTTGGTGTGTAGGAGATGGTGTTGGGTGATGGTGTATAAGAGATGGTTTAGGGGATGGTGTGAAGGAGATGGTGTAGGGGGTGGTGTGTAGGGGATGGTGTAGGGGATGGTGTAGGGGTTGGTGTGTAGGAGATGGGGTAGGGCGTGGTGTGTAGAGGATGTTGTAGAGGATGGTGTATATGAGATGGTGTAGGAGGTGGTGCGTAGGGGATGGTGTAGGGAATGGTGTATAGGAGATGGTGTAGGGGGTGGTGTGTTGGGGACGGTGTGTTGCACATGGTGTGTAGTGAATGGATTAGGGGCTGGTATAGGGGACGGTGTTTTGAGGATGGTCAGTAGGGGTTGATGTTGGCGATGGTGTGTTGGGAATGGTGAATATGGAAAAATGTATTGGAGATGGTCGGGAGGGGATGACGTATTGGGGATGGTGTGTTGTGGATGATGCATAGGGGATGGAGTAGGAGATGGTATAGGGGATGGTGTGTAGGAGATGGAGTAGGGGTTGGTGTTAGGGATGGTGTGTCGGGGATGGTAAAAAAGAATAGTGTATTGGGCATGGTGTGTGGACAATGGTGTGTAGGGGATGGTGTGTTGAGAATGGTGTGCAGAGGATGGTGTGTTGGCAATGGTGTGTAGAGGATGCTGTGTAGTGGATGATGTGTTTGGGATGTTGTGTAGAGGATGGTGTGTTGAGGATGGTATTCGGGATGGTGTGCAGAGTATTGTGTGTAGTGAATAGTGTGTTGGTTATGGTTTTCGGGGGTGGTGTGTAGGTGATGGTGTGTAGAGGATGGTGGGTAGTGGATGGTGTGTTGTGGATGGTTCGTAGAGGATGGTGTGCAGTGGATGGTGTGCTCGGGATGGTGTGTAGAGGATGGTTTGTAGTGGATGGTGTGTTGGGGATGGTGTTCGGAATGATGAGAAGAGAATGGTGTGTAGGGGATGAGGTGTTGGGTAGGGTGTTGTGGATGGTTTGTAGAGGATGGTATGTAGGGGATGGTGTGTAGAAGTGTTTGGGATGGTGTGGAGAGGATGGTGTTTTGGGGATGGTGTGTTTGGGATGGTGTGTAGAGGATGTTGTGTAAGGGATGGTGTGCAGAGGATGGTATGTAGTGGATGGTGTGTTGGGATGGTGTGTAGAGAATAGTGTGTGGAGGATGGTGTCTGGAGGATGGTGTGTAGCGGATGGTATGTTGCGAATGGTGTTTGGGATGGTGTGTAGTGGATGCTGTTTAGTGGATGGTATGTTGTGGATGCTGTATAGGGGATTGTGTGTAATGGATTGTGTGTAAGGGATGGTGTGTAGTGGTTGGTGTGTAGAGGATAGTGTGTAGTGGATGGTGTGTGGTGGTTGGTTTGTAGAGGATAGTGTATAGTGGACGGTGTGTGGTGGTTGGTGCGTTGGGCATGGTGTGCGGAGGATGGTGTTCGCGATGGTGTGTAGAAGACTGTTTGTAGAGGATGCTGTGCAGTGAAGGGTGTGTTGGGGATGGTATGTAGTGAATGGTGTGTAATGGATAGTGTTAAGGGATGGTGTATATGGGATGGTGTGTAGAGGATGGTGTGTTGGGGATGGTGTGTTCAGGATGTCCTTCTAATATTTTGCACTACAGTATTAGAATTGAAAAGTTTGCCTCTTGTTTTTGCTCTGTATTTAAATCCATAGAATTAATAAGAAAAAAAATGTAATATTTAAGAGGAGGTGGACGTGGTACGAATCTCTGCCCTAATCTTAAAAGCCTCGTCACGGCCGGATGGGTGGGGGTGGGAGAGTCAACGTATCGGAGGCGATAACATCCCCAAGTGGCGAGGTTATGGACATTATCTCAATACTCGTCACGTGGGTTATTATTTTGTTCGATGATGTGACTAAATTGAGCATAAATTGCTTAAATCTCTGAGGACATTTGCTTTTGACGTCAGAAGGTGGCGTGAGGCGGCTTTATAAGGCGAGTCTATGGACACCAGGACCAGAAGATCCAGACGAGGCAGAGCGTCCAGAGAGCCGGTGCTGAACCACGAGCGTTCCTCCGTTCCTCTCTCGCTCCTCCTTTGACAGTTTGGTGCCGTCGCCCCGAGATGTCGTGCGGCCGAGTGCAGTGCGCCCTGGCGTTGCTCTCCATCGCCCTGACAGTGCTGAGTGTCACCTCGGCGCCAGCACACGACAGGTACCGCGAAATCCTGCAGCGATCACTGGCCGCGGCGGGAGCCAGGAGTAAACCGGTAAGACAGCCGATTCCACACTGGGTAATTAATATCTGACAAGGTTGCTAAATACACATATTTACAACATTGACCTGTATTTCTAAAGTACATTCATTTGGGATTTTTGACTGGAGCTAATTATCCGACCGTCAGATTTTATTTCCTCATTTCTGTAATTCTGAATATAGCGCATTTCAGATGTCAGTCTATAACTGTAAAGGAGATATCACGGTAACTCGTCTCTAACTTGCACAGAGGCAGATGCGCACCTGCCAGGATCGCCGATGGCCCCAGAGACACACCCCGATCTGGAGCCCCGGTACCGCGGCTCTCGGGCTCTGAGGATAACATTCCAAACCATCAGATTACCGCACTCTCAGTCTCAGGGCAACTGCTCAGTGCCGCCGAGGACCCATAGCTCCCGAGCGCTCCGTGTCAGTCGTGTAGTTGGAACCGTTGACACCTTGAGAGCCATTCATTCGTCTAAACCAGTTTTATTTTAATGATTAATGCATCAATTGGCATCAAACGACAATTTTAACTTTCAAGATTTGAGACAGTTTCTAACTGAACTTCCCCCAAAATCTCTTCCGACAATTGTCCCCATAAACAGAAACCTCCCGAACACAGCACAAGAACCAAGTTAAACAGCTACAGATTGTAAGTAGCTGTCAAAACAACCGCGTAACTAGTAACTAGTCCGGTTGGTGCATTTCTGGGCACAATAGAGAGGACTCCAGACTCCAGGCTGAAAACCTTACATCTTTCTTACATTTACTAAAACATTGATATCTCCTAAGCTGAGAGAGCACATCCGTGTTCACCCCCCACCCCCACCCCCACCCCGGAGCGCTGGCCTCTCATGTAGCCAATGGCTTAGAACCTATTTCTCCGGGAAAGTGAATGCTCGTGATTTACATTCCGGTTTCTGAATTGAGTGATTTTCAGACATTTCTTGTCTTAGTGAGTAGTTTGGACTGAGGAGGAGTTTGACGTATATAGGAGGTGGGAGTCACTGAGCCATAAACAGACAAACACGCTGATTTTCCTGATCTTCACACAAACAGCCAAAGCTGGAGAGGAAACTGCGCCAAACGATACATTTTTGTGAATGTAGTCATTAATCCGGGTTGAGTAATCAGCCATCAGCTGCTTGCCATGTGTACATGTGCCTCACTGATTACTGTTCTCTTGTGTTACTGTTCTCAGGAGCTGACCAAGTACAGCCTGGCTCAGCTGTTGGCGGAATTGGCCAACGCGGAGAACGAGGCGCTGGAGGCGGAGGACATGGCCCGAGCAACCGCACAGGACGAAGTAAGGGTTGAATTGGAGAGATCGGCCAACCCCAACCTGGCGCAGAGAGAGCGCAAAGCGGGCTGTAAAAGCTTCTTCTGGAAAACCTTCACTTCCTGCTAACTCTGAGCAGCCCCCACCACCCCTCTCACACACACTCATACACACACTTTCCCTGACCCCCACCCCTCCCATCCCCACCCTACACACAAAGTTTTCCCGATCCCCCGCCACACACACACACACACACATTGTATTTGTCTTACGCTACGTGGTCTGTTCTGATTTTAACATACTGTAAATAAAACACATGGTGATGATAATTCAACCTAATTTATTGTGACAGAACCTTTAGATGGGGTTGTGACTGTATAGTTACCCACTCTTTCTGGCTAGAGGTGTATGTATTATTTTTAATTTGTATGTCGCAATGAAATACATGTTTGAAACTGAAACCATCTCTTCTCTTTCTTGCCTGACGTGTGAAAGTCGCTGGTTACCCGGCTCAGCTCCATCACTGACGGCAAAGCGTAGCTGTAACATTACACGAGTTCTATATATTTATATCACTTTCTCAAAACGTAAACCATTGTATCACAGATGTCTTTTCAGCGATGTGGAGTCCTGTAGCTCAGTGGTTAGAGCACTCGCTTTGCAAGTGAGAGACCTGAGTTCAATCCCCGGGGGGTCAGGGCCAAACCTCGGGCAAGTTTCCTTACTCCACACAGAGCCTAATAATAATCCTCCAAAACCAAAAACAATAATAAATTGGTCATTTTCAATCTACGACTGTTTGTGGGACATTGCTGTGCGCAATTGGCTGCCGCGTTCGCCCACAAATATACAGTCAATTCACTTTACAGTGTGTTCTGTGAAGTGCTTTGGGACATCCTCCCGACGTGAAAAGCGCTATATCAAATGCAAGGATTATTATTATTATTATGGCTCAGACAGATCTGCCATAGTCTTTCACTGTGTGATTGACATTTCGGCTCTCATTTCACCAACTCCAGAACAGCTCACTGGAAGCGATCATTTGAACACAGCAATGACCGGGGGCGACCCCCACCGTCTGTCTCAATGTAATCCTCACTCTTGTTCTGCTCTCACTCTCGCACTCCTTCCCTCAACCATTCCATCACCAGATGGTTATCTCATACTCTGTAGGTTTGCAGCATACCCATCTCTGGTACACACATAGCCCACCCCCCACCCCCCCCCCCCCCCCCCCCCCCCCCCGCTCCCGAGGAGAGTTCATGACCAGGTTAAGTACATTCACTTTAAACCTGTTCGGATTTCCGACACGAGACATTAAGCCTTTATGCTTTCCATTGTAGATTTATCAATGGATTTGGGGTTGGAGGTGGTCTTTTTATCCAATTAGATTTAGTTTTGAGCCACATGGGGCTATTGGGACATTCTTTCAAGCCCCAGAGCCACAGATACCGATGTGCAGAAAGTGGAGACACTTTAATAGCCCCGTGTCAGCAACAGGACTGGCTAGAACTGCTGCCCACTGATCTATGTTACAAGGAAGGCAGCCATCCTGGTATTGGATTAAACCCTCTAACCTCATGATCAGAATCTCTGCACAACATGGCTGCTCCTCACTCCCACTTCCTAACATTCATTCTGGTCAAAGACATTTCACTCGGGATAAAACAGAATCACCGAATCCAGCAGTGTCCGGGACAAATTGCAGTTCTCCTATTTTCTATAGTGGTTAGCCTGTAAGTGGGAACAATCCATGTTGTGTTCAGATCTAAACAATTTTTATTGTTCAAGACACTGTATATTTTACACCAATAAGTATTACAGGAGGGAAATCAAATTGTGATGGAAGTAAATATTATGCTGGTTACCCAGATTTATTCATATAATAATCCTTTGATTTGATAATAATAATAATCTTTGCATTTCATTTAGCACTTTAGCATGTTTTCGAGGCGTCTCAAAGTGATTCACAGAATATGCTATAAAGTGAATTGACTGTATATTTTGTGGGTGAAACACGGCAGCTACTGGCACACAGCAACGTCCCACAAACAGTCATGGATTGAGTGACCAATTTTTTTTTTAGGGATTATTATCCCTGGAAAAGCATTCCACCAATCGACAAAAAATTGGGTTCCTACTTACTGCTGGGTAAACAGTAAGTAGGAACCCAACAGTATGTGGAGTAAGGAAACTTGCCAAAGGTTTCGCCCTGCCTAAGAATTGAACCCAGGTTCTCTCGCTTGTGAAACGAGTACTCTAACAAGAAAAACAAAATTATATTTGTGTAGAGCCTTTCACGTTGGGCGGATGTCCCAAGGCGCTGGACAATCAGTATTTCAGACCTGAGCTGGGGGTTGGGATCGGGGAGGGTGGACGGCATGGGGGGAAGGAGGGTAATCAAAGGCACGGTCGAAGAGAAGGGTATTGAAATGATGTTGAAGGAGGCAAGGGAGAGGGTGAAGCAGAGGGATTGCAGGATGGAGTTCCAGAGGGTGGGGGCAGAGTGGTTGAAGGTCGCCCGCCAATAGTGGAGCGGTCAAGGCGGGGGGACATGAAGCAGGCCGGAGCTCGCTGAGCAGAGGGAGCAGGCAGGTTGGTAGAGGGTTAGGAGGTCGCAGAAAGCTAACCACTAAGCTACAGAACTCCACATGGTCTAAACAAAGGGAATTATAATAATAATCCTTGGATTTGATATAGAGCCTTATCACATCATTGAGACATCTCAAAGTGCTTCACAGAATTAGGTAAAAATTGAAAAAAATATAAAAATATTAAGAGAGGGGGAGGGAGAGTTGGCGGGGAATTGGGATCAAACAGAATAGCTCATACAGGAAAGCCGCACAGGTGCCAGAGGCCAAATTTATGGCCTTTTATGTTGTAAAATTATAAGATTCATTTCCACTATTTTTTAAAAAGGACTTTTTCTCTCATTATTAAACCAAATGTAAATGATGAATGTAATGAAAGCCCTTCAGTCTTAAATGCTGTACCATCTAGCTGATATATAAAAAACACAATAGTTTAAATTTAAAGCTGCTTGTACATTAGCGACAAGCATACTACTGTATAAGCCCATCAGCCTTTCACATCGGGAGGATGTCTCAAATTGCTTCACACGATATACTGTAGTGATTGTATTTTGAGTGTATATCTGTACAGCGGATTTAGGGAGTAGCTGAACAGTGCCCACATTACTGTGGTGACACTTGGCAAAGCTGACCTCAGCCACATTCTTGGACAGATCACCGGGTCTCGGAAAGGGAAGGAAAGGGAAGTCAGACACATTTAAATGATTGGATTCTGATATATAAGTTACATCTGATCAGCAGTAATCCTGGAGTCTCACCCAGAGCCAAAGGTTGGGATGCGCAGGGACTGGAGCCCTGCGAACAGCATACATTGCGACCGTTCATTCTGTGAGGCCAGTTATTATCGCAAATATTTGACTCCTTACCCTTCACTCAGTTTCTCATTCACTTGTGTAACACCTGGTAGAGAATAGCTGTGATTCTTTACCACCGTCTTTACAACAAAACTAAATCATCTTCAGTGATTCCATCCCAATTTAACCTGTAAATTTAACACAGAACACCTCCCAGACTGCCTCTGTGTTGGTGACTCTGCCATCACTTTCCATTCAAATCATTCTTCATTAATCGCTGCCCAAAGTCCGACGATTACAACTAGACACATTGCTCATTGATTGTTGGAAAAGGATGGTGCATGTAACACAGGTTTACAGTTGACCAGATATGTCTGAATGTGATCATTATCAACCTCCATCGCTGCTTTAATCAGGGTTGTGTAATTGGAGAAGTGGTCACCGTGTGATGGGTTTGTGCACAATAGGAGAGTTCAGTGAGATGCTGTGATATGATGTGACAATAGATGTGACAGGTGTCACAGATTCCCCTCCCATCCACAATCATATTGCAAAGATTTATGAAAAAGGTTTCTTCTCATTAGACACATAAATATTAATGATAGTTTCAGGAACTTTGATTCTAAAGCAATCAATTAACCCTGAAATCAAGCATTCAGATTTACAAGGATGCAGTTTAATTTCTTCTGGCCATACTCCCAGCTACCGATTATAGGGAAACAAGTACTGCGAGGTACTGTAGGAGGAACAGTCCTTTCCATGAGATGTTGAACTGAAACCCAGTCTGCCTGTCCAGGTGGATGTTAGAGTCACCAATGCTCCAGGTCAGGGACAGTAAAACCAGATAACCAGTAATTGTTTCGTTAAGGCTAAGCTTTTCATGAAAAGACTCAAGTTGCAAATTCCCTTGCGGACACAAAGTTTCTCATTCCTCTTTTATTGTCTTGATAAATTGTTGGGGAATTTTACTCTCTATTTACAAATGTACATGAAAAGTTGCAGTGAAAAGGTGTCCAACCAGAAATGGCTTCTGAACTTTACCAATACCATTCCAAAAATCCTTATTTTTTCGCAGGGGTGTGGGATAGTAAGCCGATCTTGTGGTGATGTGCTTGGCAATGGAAAGTCAGAATCAAGTCAATTCTCTGTGGTATTCTAGATAATCAGATTCCTTAGCCACTGTACTCCAAGGCAGGCCAAACAGCTTGGTTCATTGGCAGGCTAGACCAGTCACTAGGGGAAGGGATTCTTCCACTCTGCTCCTATTAGCCTTGCAAGCACTAATAGGTAGAGTGGTCTTAGCTGGACAAGAAGTGACAGGTTTCCTGGACATTGCTCTTAATGGAAAGCTGTACAGTTTTAGCGAGTTAAGCTCCAGTTGTATCCAACTCACACTCTAGAATCCTTAAGCCTTGACTTTCGCCAACCTATGTTAATACTCTCTGAAATCAGGAAGGCAGAGTGCATCTCTCCAGGAAGAGAGTGGACATTCCATTCCAGACAGTGAAATCTTCACGTGTATGTGGCATACATATATGGAACATGTATATGTGGTACCCTAGCACAGTGTGAGCCTCCACACAACATGTGAACAGTGTGTGAGGCTACAATAGCACAGTGTATGAGGCATGGAAAAAGTTAGTTCTGTGAGGACATCAATGGTCCTGGAGTCAAGGGTGGAGGCAGAGAGGTAGAGTTGGGTGTCATCTGCATATATGGGGAAGTTGACCCCATGTCTACGGATGATGTCACCAAGAGGGAGCGTATAGATGTTGAAAAGGTGGGGCCCAAGGACAGAGCCCTGAGGGATGCCACAAGTGATGGTGCGGGGGTTGGAGGAAAAGCCGTAAGTGAAGTTACAGCAGGATTCTCCGAAGTAATTGTCTTCCGCTGGCTGGGATTATATAGTAATTGTGCTGTGATTGACTGTTGAATTAAGAAGTAAACTGCAGTGTGTATACTTACATTAAAATTGTACATTTTGAATGTAGAAAGCAATTGAGCAGAATCTCCTCCAGGGAGATTGGTGTGACAGGTAATAATACTGATGTCGAGAGGCTGTGCTTAATGGACTAG